TATGTAAGAACATTGGACCCATGACCTTGAGACAACCTAGACCATCAGTGATAGAGCTTTTGACCCAGTCACATGGATATTGAACGTTTTCTTGCTTGGGTTCACCATTGATCGCCTGGCTTTCATCACCTGAATGATGCTTGAACAGTACATCCTGGAGAACTGGAAGATAATACCCTTAGTGTTCATTCATTCACCAGAGACAGAGGTAAGCTGGCCACTGGCACAGTACAGCCAGGGAATGAGGGCAGGTGTCAGGCCCCCTGTTGCCCCTGAGACTTCCTCTAGGGGTTGCTAGGATCCCATGACTGCCATTCACATAGGGTGAGGTAGGTCTCTTTGCTGGTTCAGCCTTTAGTCTAGATGGCAGATCTGGGATTCAGAGAGGGCCAACTGAAGATGGGGTTGGGTTGGGTAGAGGTTGGTGGGAAAACCACAGGCACAGGTCTCTGGGCAGGGTTGTTTCTTTGAGGATACTCACAACCCAGGAACATTGCTGGGATGGATGGGCTCTTTTCTCCTTCTCGAGAGAGAGGGACCTAGAGCCTTCCAGTCTGGATCCCTTGGCCAAGAAATCCTTTTGTTCCCACATCCTGTGGTTGGTTAACTAGACCTCACCACACTGCCCAGTGTGGAGGCAGGACAGTGAGAGATCCTGAGTCTTTGATAAGGTCAAGGGATCTTCAGTATGAGATTGTACTTGAAAGTCCTCACTTGGTGCATGGTCACTCCTATCTGAGACTGGCATGATGTGGGACGTAGAATCTTCACAAGCAGAGGAGGATGGGGTCTGTTCTGGGAGGCTTGAGTATCATGTGTGAGTTTTGAGCTCCCGTATGTTCACCTGTTTCCCTTTCTTGGGTGGGTCTTTGCTAGAAAAAGCTTGAGACTAGGGACTGTGTCCTATCCCTTGTCTTTGATGCTCAAAGCTAGCATTCTACCATTTGAGCCACAGCTCCACTTCCAACTTTTTTGTGTGTTAATTTGAGATAGATTTCTCATGGATTTTGCTGCCAATGGTGACATCCAACTGTAGTCCTCAGATCTCAGTCTCCTTGAGGGGATAGAATGAAAGGCATGGAAAAGTATCTTTGGCCAGGTGCCAGTTGCTCATGGCTGTCATCCTAGGTACTCAGGAGCTGAGATCTGAGGAACAGGGTTCAAAGCCAGCCTGGGCAGAAAAGATGTTGAGACTTATCTCCAATGAACTTCCAGAAAATCAGAAGTGGTGCTGAGGCTCAAGTATTAGAGTTCTGGCCTTGAGCTAAAGAGCCCAGGGACAGCACCCAGGCCCAGAGTTCAAGTCCCACAACTGAAAAAAAGTAAAACATCTTTTCCTGCAAAGGATGGTTGAGGTGTGGGTGGTTTGGCCGGGCGTGGGGGTTCAGTGTTTGGGTGACCAGGTGCTGGCCCAACTGTAGAGACATTTCTAAGAATTCTCCAAGTTTGCCACAGTGTGAATCCACAGCTTCAAGAGGACATGGCCTATGGCTGGCAGGGAGTGAGCCAATGGGTGCAGGGTTGCAATTGTTGTGTCTGTATTCTCTCCATTGAAGGATGGATTTGGATGCTGGGTGACAAAGTCTGAAATGAAGTGTTACAAGAAGTTTTTTGCCTGATAAGATGGGATTCCTCTGGGTATATGAAGGTTTCTGAAGCCAGAAGCCACAGGTGGCTCACGAATGTGAACCTAGCTACTCGGAAGGTTGAGATGTGAAGACCATGGTTCCAAGCCAGCTTGGGCAGAAAAGTCTGTGAGACTTGATGTGCAATGGACCACCAGAGTACAGGAAATGGTGTTTTGGCTCAAGTACGAGAGTGGTCAACTTCAGGTGAAGAGCTGAGGGACAGGGCCCTGGCCCAGAGGTCAAACCCCGTGACCAACAACAATAAAAGATGTGGCTAACTTTTCCGCATAGCAGAGTGTACAGTAGGAAATGCCATGCTGGGCTATGAGACATTCCAGATATGAGAGAAGTTCAATGTTTTGTCCACATTGGATCTGAGGTCTGTAGTGCCACCTTCTCCCGGGTGGGTTGTGATCCTAATGGAAGGAGATCATGGTTCTGTTCTCAGGGCCTGCTGAAGCCTTTGGCTGTGTGTGTGTGTGTGTGTGTGTGTGTGTGTGTGTGTGTGTGTGTGTTTGTCTCTCTGTCTGTCTATCTCTGTGTCTGTGTGTGTTTGGAGGTAGAAGACCTGGGTTATGAACTCAGGGCATAGGTGCTGTACCGGATCTTCTGTTCTCAAAGCTAGTACTCTGACACTTGAGCCACAGTTCTACCTCTGAATATTTGGTGGTTCCCTGTAGATAACTGCTGGCTTTGAACTATGATCCTCAGACCTCAGCCTCCTGAGTAGCTAGTATGACAGACATGAGCCACTTTTCCCAGCTTTGTGTGTGGTGTGTGTGTGTGTGTGTATGTGTGTGTGTGTAGAAATGGGTTGTAACAAGGAGCACTGGACCCTTTGGTATTTTCTGCCTGCTATCTTTGGGGGGGTGGTACATGGGCATTGTTCCTGAGGTCTGGGGGCCTGGAAGGGTGAGAAGCTTGTTGGGGACTCAGCACCATCAAATTATAAGACCAAGGGATCTGTATGCCCTGCAACTGTCTACTACTTTGGGCCTGGTTGTTGGCAGGGGGATCTTTGGAGGACCTAGGGGTGGGGCCCACAGGCTGTGGCTCCCCTGGGGGACAGAGAGCTTGGCCAGCACTTAGGAAGGATGCAAGCTCTGTTAGTATGGAGCATATTGGCTTGGGTGAGACTCTGAATCTTTTCATAATGATGTCTGATGGGGGAGGCCAACCCTATTATAAATCTTGAACTGTGATCATCAGATCTCAGCCTCTTGAGTAGCTATGATTATAGGCATGATCCTCTGGCACCAGGCCTTTGATTCTTTTTGGTATATTTGGGTTTGAACTCAAGGCCTAAGTCTTACCAGTCAGCTCTTCCACCATGTGAGCCAAGATTTTCTGTCTTGGGCATTTCCAAGATAGAGACTCAATATGTGCTCAAGCTAAACTGGATGGCGGTCCTCCTGTGACAGGTGTGCACCACCATGCCTGGTCATCTGTAGTTGGGATGCTAGACATATAGCGCCAACCTCAGTCAGTGGTTTACATGGGTTGTCCCAAACTAGTCCACGGCAGCCGATTCTTGACCACAAATGAAGCTGTGGGTTGGGCCTTGACCATCAGACCTCAGTCCTCTCCCGGGACAGTTGTAAGGAAACAAGGGATCAATACAAGGGGATCTCTGGGACAGGGCTAGGCAAAAGCGGAGCAGCTCTCAGATATGGTTGTTGGAAATTCTTTGAGCATATGACAGGAAGATACCCAGAAAGGGCTCAGATGGGGCCTGTTATTTATCGAATTATAGGTATGGGATTATGAAACAAAACATGTCTCTCTTTGATCCTTACCCTATCCCAATGACGAAGGGAATCCTTCACTGTGTTCAATTTTGCAGCTGGGGAAAAGAGAGCACGGAGAAGCTGGGTGACGTACTTATGACCCCACGCTGACAGGAAGCTCGGCCTAACTTCCCTGCTATGCTCCCTAGGAGGATGGGTCCTATTCAGTCCACTACTTGTAGTCAGAAGCCCACTTCTTGTCAGTCGTGGGGCTTGCACTTTGGGCCTCTGGACTGTCCAAGGGTTCCTCAGCTCAAGGCTAGCATTCTACCACTTGAGCTACAGTGCTACTTCCAGATTTCTGTTGGTTCTTTGGAGATAAGAGTCTCACAAATGTTAATGCCTGGGCTGACTATGAACCAATATCTTGATATCTCAGCCTCCTGTGTAGTACACATTATAGTCCTGTGCCACCTGCACCCAGCTAAAGTGTAATTCTGACTTTCTCTCTCTGTCTCTCTGTCTCTCTTTCTCTCTCTATCTCTCTCTCTTTCACACTCAGGAGCTGGTTAAATGGGTGATGGAGGAAGTGGCCTAGCATCCCCATGTGGATAGGGCTTAAGGTTTTCCTCTCATTCTGGATGTGGGCTTTGAGTCAGAAGCTGTCTCACTCAGTCTGTTGAACTAGCACCCTGAGGCAAGCCCCTCTGTGCCTGGGCTAGACCCTCATGGTTATTCATTGTCTGTCCGTCCTTGACTCCTTCCCCACTATCCTCTGCTAAGATGGTTAAAGGAAAGTGGACAAGGAGGCTTCTCATTCCCCCCCGCCCCCCCACCCCGCTAGATCCCGGGCTTCTGATCCTCACTGCCACTTTTCTGGCCAGACCCTGGTTATAAAAAAATGAATTCACTCCATGTCTACTTCGCTTTGCTGTGGTGTGTGGTTTCAGGGAGGAGGGGCGGTGTGCAGAGGAAAGACCCCAGACCGACACCTCTTGGGGGACATTTGATCTTGTGACAGAGTCAAGTCATTGCTGTGGATAAGGGGGAAGCTGTCATCAGACTGGTCCAGAATGATGTTCAAAGGTAGGTAGGCTGTTGGAAGTATCAAACCCATCCATGTCTGCTTCCCACACACGACAAGGGGGTTGCAATAAGGATTTCCCGGCATTGGCTGTAGGGGATTATGAATAGATGGTACTGGTCAGGTGCCAGTGGGTCCCGCCCACCATCATGGCTATTCTGGAGGCTGAGGTCTGATGATTGTGACTCAGAGCCCGCCCACCATGAGAGTGTGTGAGATTCTTACCTCACATAGATCTACTCCCCCCCAACCCCCCGAGAAAAAGCCAGATGTGGTGCTGTGGCTCAAGTGGTAGAGCCTCAGCCTTGAGTAAAGAAGCTCAGGGACGACACGGAGGCCCTCAATCCAAGCCCTAGGACTAAAAAAAATTAATGAAGTAAATGAATAGTGGCACCTGTTATCTTAGTACCAAAAAGGATGGATTTGGAGATCTTTCTGGTACTTGTAGCCAAAGGTAAGGGGCTTCCCTTATTGTTCCTCTAAACCTCTCCTTCTCTCCTTTATCACTCCAGGCTTCAGTTGATGGATAGAATTCAGATCATCGCACTCGATGTGACCTTACATACCCTCCCCTACCCACCTTCCTTGGGGTGGAGATTCTGGATGTACTCACCATTGGGAAGATGAGGCATTACAGAGACGGGGGAGGTATCACTGAAACTCATACTTTCTCTCTCTCTATGTCTATCACGCACACACACACAAACACACACTCATCTAGGCAAACTCAAACTAGCTTTTCCCAAAGACACTTTATCCCCTTGGATTAACAAAGCTAGGAGAGGAACTTGATCCCCTGTAACTGACTATTTTATCTAGGGATTGCAAGTTGACATAAGATAAACAGAAGCTGAAAAGTAAGGCTCTGGTGCCCATCACCTCTGCCTCAGGGTCACGCTTGACATACTGGCTATTCGGGAGGCAGAGATCTGAGGATCAAAGATCGAAGCCAGCCCAAAGCTGGTGAGACTCTTCTCTCCATGGAACCAACAAAAAGCCAGAAGTGGAGCTGTGGCTCAAGTGGTAGAGCACCAGCCTTGAGCATGAAAACTCAGAGAAAGCTCCCAGATCCTCAGTTCAAGCCCATACAAAGAAATGGACCCACCTTGTTACCCCAAGACTGCCTGGTCCTTGAGTGCCCTCTCCCGGAGTGTGATATAGCACCGGTCCCTGGGTGGTATATCAGAGCCTTCAGAAATTGTGTGGTGGAAGCCAGGCCTTCCCCTTCATGCACTCTCAACTCACACTGGCCAGAAGACAGAGAGTGACAAAGCTGGCAGCCTGCACAGAGGAGAAGGTCCCACTCTGCCAGGGTGATTGGAGCAGGCTTCTTAGTGGCAGCACTTGAAAGGGGATCTTGCTTACCAAGGAGGATATGACAGGAAACATAGAGAGCAAAGATGCTGTAAATAAGGAAAACATAGCAGATTGAGTTCATTTCCAGCCAGGGCTGCTGGTGAGAAACTCAGTACAGATGTGCAGGTCTGTCCCACAACAGGCCTGAGGGGTAAAAAGAGAACAGCTATGTTGGGTTGGGATTGTGTCTTAGCAGTAGTGGGCTTCCCTAGCACATATGAAAACCTCGGTTGGATTCCTCTGGTCCTGCAATCATCCACAGAAAAAGCTGGACGTTGCCCAGGGGATCAGGTAGAAAAGCGCTGGCCTTGAACCAAAGAAGCTTGGGGAGAGCACCCTGGCCCCGAGATCAAGTCCCACGAAACAGCACTCCAAGTGACCTTGGTAACTGGTGGATGGCTATGCCCTGTAGCTCTTAATAGAGGCATCTATGCTTTGTCTCTCCTTTGACAGAAGGGAGATGGACACTCCTTCTGTCCTGGGTACCCCTGGACCGAGTTATCAGCAATCCTCCCAACATCTTCTACCGGGACATGTAGCAGCTGGCCTCAGAAATCCGCAGGTACCAGTGTGGTTTGGCGGGGGGATATGGTGCAGGATCCAGAAATCCTAATTTTTCTGATCTGCTCCGGATGACCAGGCCATCAAGAGGAGTCAGCTGGGAGCTTAGAGAGGGGAAGTGATTTGGAGGGGGCTCTTTAATGCCCATGTCCCTACCCAGATTCTGAGACTCCCTTTGTTGTCCCTGAGGGAGGTACAGGAGTGTCTAGGTGGTAGTGTCTACAGGAGCACTTGGTGGAAATTCTAAAGAATGAGATACCATACTCTGTGCACTGGTGGCTTATGCTTGTCATCCTGGCTACTCAGTTAGGATGAGATCCAGAGGATCTCTTTTCCCTGCGCAGGCAGGAAAGTCCCATGAGTCTCCCATCTCCAATCTTCAACCGGAAGTGGCACCGTGGCTCAAATGGTAGAACACTGGTATTGAGCAAAAATCATCATCAGGGACAGTACCCAATACTTGAGTTCAAGCCTTTTAACCAAAAAAAAAAAAAAAAAAAAAACCAATAAATAAAGACACCCCTTGCCTGCAAGAGATGGTGTAGAAGTGGAGGTGCTGGGGTAGGAAGACCAGATGCTGGTCTCAGTGTACAACAATTCTAAGAACTCTCCATTTTTGTCCAATTGTGAAGTCACAGCAGGATGGGTGTTGCCTTACCAAGAAGTTCAGAGGGTATAGCCTGTCTTAGGCAGGGAGTGGGCACATGGAAGCAGGGTTTGGGAAGGTAGTGTCAATTATATTCTCTCCGTCCATTGGAGAATGGTTTTCGATGCTGGTGTCAAAGTCTGAAGTGAAGGGTTGCGTGTGGTTCATAGCCTGACAAGTTGGGTTTCCCCTGGATGTAAGAAGGTGGCTGAAGCAGGGTGCTGCCAGTGGCTCACAACTGTCATCCTAGCTACTCAGGAGGCTGAGATCTGAAGTTCGCATATCAAAGCCAGCTTGGGAAGGAAAGTCTGTGATTCTTTGTCTCCAGGGAACCACCAGAAAACCGGAAGTGATGCTTTTGCTCCAGTTGTAGAGCACACACCTTCAGCTGAAGAGCTGTGGGACTGTGTCTATGCCCAAAGTTCAAACACCATGACTGACAAGCAAAAAATAGGTAGCTGAGTTTTCTGCATAGTGGTATGGATAGTAGGAGATGCCATGCTGTGTTATGAACCAGATGTGTGAGAGGCTCTGAGTTTTGTATACAGTTGGTCTGAGAATGGTAGAGCTATCTTCTCGGGGATTGGGATGTTCCATTGCTCAAGGCCTGCTGAGGTCTTGAGCTACTCCTCTGTGTGTGTGTGTGTGTGTGTGTGTGTGTGTGTGTGTGAGAGTGTGTGTATGTTTGTATATTTGTATGTGAGTGTATTTTTTTCTCATCTTTCTTTGTGTCTGGGCGCCTGTCTGCCTCTTCCTACCTCGGATGGTGCCCCTCCTCCAAGGCAACCTTGCCTTTAGCTCCTTATCAGGGTGAGTCCTAAATTGCCAGAGACCTCTATATTCTAGCTTTTCTTTGGGGCCCAGTCCGGCTGTCCATATCTTTGGCTGCCTCCAGGGGATTCTGGTCAGCAGGGCCAGCTGGCATAGCTTCTCCCCTGCTTCTGGATGGGTGGGGCTCAGTCATGCAATGTCCTGTTCTTTTCCTCAGCTGGGTCTCTGGCTGCACATCCCTCCCATCAGGAAGTCAGTGGAGTCGGGGAAGGGTGGTTGCCAGTTGCTTTGGCCAACTTGAGCTTGATCACTGACTGAAGGCCGCCCAAGCAAGGAGGATCTGGGGCTACATGGGAGGTGAGGCCAAGGTGGCTTGGAAGTATCTGTTGGTATCTAGGAAATGTCAGTATACCTTATCACAGGCAAGTCTAACTTGTGGCCACAGATGTGCCTCTCAGGTCCTTCTAGACAATTGCAGATGCCTAGAATACAGAAGCACAGACTTTAGATAGCAGGGCCAGGGAACTAAGGGATGAGAGACTGGTATGGTCAGTACCTCAATGTTCTGGAGCATTAGCCTTGACCAGGCTATGTCCCCGTTGTGTAAGTTCACTTCCTAACCCAGTGCTGGCTACACACTGGCCACTTGAGGCAGTACTTTGGAAGTGGCAGAGGTGGAAGTGAGATCTAGGATGACCAAAATCTGGATTTATGGCCTGTGTGGGTGGGGTTGGCAAAGGATGTCTATTAAAAACAACAACAACAACAAAATCTCAGAGCTGCAACTTGCGGCCTAGGCACTGTCCCTGAGCTAACACTCTACCATTTGAATCAGAGCTTACCTTTCACCTTTTTTGGTAGTTTACCGGAGAGAAGAGTCTCACAGACTTTCCTGCCTGGGCTGGCTTCAAGCTGCTGTCCTAAGAGCTCAAGCTCTTGAGTAGCTGGCATTGCTGGTATGAGCCATTGGCACCTGCTAAGGATGTTAGTGGGTGTATGCATGTGTGTGTGTGTGTGTGTGTGTGTGTGTGTGTGTGTGTGTGTGTTTACCGGGGTTTGAACTCAGAGCCTAGGTGGTATCCTTTAGCTTTTTTTCACAAGGTTGGTGTTGTACCACTTGAACTAGACTAGGTCCGCTTCCCAGCATTTTGGTGACTCATTGGAAAGAAGAGTCTGCCCAGGCTAGCTTGGAATCTTGATTAATCCTCAGGTGTCAGCCTTGAGTAGCTAGAATTATATGCATGATCCACTGGCACCGAGTTGTAAGGATGTCTTTTCACATGCTCTTTTGTTCTAACAGCTGTCTACTTGCTCTGTCCCAGATTTTTGGCCTCCATATCAGCTCTCAGCAGCCCCTGACTGTGTGGAGTACATAAAGCTCAAACCTGATCCCATTTCTTTGTCCTCAGGGGAGGGTATGTTTCTTCTGAAGCCTGGGGTAGGAGGGATAGCTGTAAATGGGTGCTTGGCTGGGAGAGAGGTCCTCTGTTTTAACCAAGAAGGAAAGTGTGGCCAGATAGATGCTAATAGCTCATCCTCTCTTATTCCTAACTCCTCAGGAGGCTGAGATCTGAGGATTGCCATTCAGAGGCAGCCCAGCTAGAAAAGTCTGTGAGACCCTGTTCTGCAAATAACCACCTGAAAACTGGAAGAAAAGCTCAAGTGGTAGAGTGCTAGCCCTGAATGAAAAAACTCAGGGACAGAGCCCGGGCCCTGATTTCAAACCGTAGTACCAAGATTCATGTGCACTCAAGGGCCTGTGTGCACACACACAAATACACAGACACACACACACACATATGCAGACACACACTGAGGAAGGTGGTAATGATGAGCTGAGCTAGAACTGGGGGCAATCCTGAGGCATAGTCACAGTGAACTCTCCAGGCAGATCAAGTGGTTTTTCTCTATTTCTTTCTTGGTCTGAGTGGTCTGGGCCATGGCAGTAAGTTCCATGGAACCTGCTGCTCCATCCGTGCACAGGGTCACAGGACCAAGAGAAAGACACTATGAATGCTCCTTTGTAGTTGGCCCACGATTCCGGACCTTCATCTGCCCCAAGCACTGGTGAGGAATGCAGGGTTCTGAGGCCTGGTAGTCCAGGCATAGAAACTGGTACAAGCAGCCGAGCCAGCAGGCTGTGGATTCCTGAGCCTACAAGACTTTCATGATCCCAACTCAGCACCTGCCCACAGGGTACCTGACATATTCATACCCTTGTGATACCTGTGTGGGGGTTACCTGTGGTGCCATTTGCAGCTCCTGTCCCTCCTGGCCCAGAACCATGGTCTGAGGTGTCGGTTTACTGCTCAGATGCTCACTGCATCCATGAGAGATGCTATTCTGATGACCTGCCCGTGACCTCTATACCCCAAGGCGGGACCCTTCTCTGATACAGAGGCCTGCTCAGTATGCAAAAGCCTCCAAAGAGGCTCTTCTCAAGAATCGTAGGCCACCTAGACATTGGGAGACCCTCAGGGACCCACTGGAAAGTACTCTGCCTAGAGCCACACAGTGAGGTCCATGCAGACCAGGTGTTGGTCATGGGGCTTGAACTCTGTGCCTGGGAGCTGTTGCGCAGCTCTTTGGCTTACCACTTGAGCCTAGCACCACTTCTGGTTTCCTGGAGGTTCCTTTGAGATCAGAGTCTCCTGGACGTTTCTGCCCGGGCTGGGCAGATCCTCAGATCTCACTCTTCTTAGGAGCTATTACGGACAGGCTTGAACCACCGGCACATGGCTGATCTGGCCTTTCACCACAGTGCACTGGGGAGCTCCTGAAAGCTTTCTTTTAGTTTTCTGTGCCAGTACTAGAGCTTGAACTCAGGGATTGGTATTCTGGTCTCTTGACTTTTGCCCTCAAGGCTGGCACTCTACTTCTTGAGCCACAGCTCTATTTCTGGCCTTTGTTAGTTCATCAGCAAGAAGAGTCCAACTTTCCTCCCTTGTGCTGGTTTTGTCCCAAGACCTCTCATCTCAGTCTCCTCAGTTGTTAGGATTTAGAGGTGTTGAGCCACTGCTGGCATTGGGCTAGAAGCTTTTAATAAGCCTGCGTTGGCCCTGACTTCTCCATGTGAAGGAGGCCTGATGATCATGAGTTGTGAAAAATAAGCTTCCAGCCATGGGAAATGGCTGGAGTCCTTGGTGAAAAGCCAAGCTAATCTTCCTCTGGGCCCCATTGTGGGACCCCCACCCTCTACCCTATCTGTGACTTAAGTAGAAACCTTTACCCAGCCTTGAGTGTCCTGCCAGACTTGTCTGAAGCCCCAGACCACACCACCCACACCACCTGCTCTACAGCACACCTCAGGACCTTTGCCTCTGCTGTCCCTTCTGCCTCTGATGCTCTCTTCTGTTCCACATCTTAGAACTCCTGTGGAATTTTGGTACTGGTTATTATCACCGCATGGAGCAAATCTTTCCTTCTCTTCTCTGTCTTTTTGTTGAAGTGAATTTCTAGAGATGGAACTTGTTCAGGCTTAATGGCAAATAATCTGATCTTGGGGTGTGTGTGTGTGTGTGTGTGTGTGTGTGTTTGTGCGTGAGTGGGTGTGTGGGTGTGTGAATGAGCCCAGTTCTGAGGTTTGAATTTATGGCCTAGACACTATCCTTGAACTTTTGTGCTCAAGGCTATTATTCTACTAGTTGAACCACAGCTCAACTTCTGGCTTTCTGGGTGTTTAATTGGAGAAAAGTGTCTCATACAGACTTTTCTGCTTGTAATTGTGATCCTCAGATCTCAGCCTCCTGAGTAGCTAAGATTACAGGGGTGGGCCACCAGCACCTGCCCTCTACCTTTTTACCTCTAACCTCAGCCTTCCTCTGAGTCCCAGAGGAATATGTCTCACCACGCTCAGTTCTTTTTTTCTTTTTTGCCAGTCTTGGGGCTTGAACTAAGGGTCTGCACATGTTCCTCAGCTGCTTTTGCTCAAGGCTAGCACTCTATCACTTAAGTCACAGTGTGCCTTCTGGGTTTTTCTGTTTCTGTGGAACTGAAACAGAAAAAGGACCCAAATCCAGGGCTTGGTGCAGGCTAGGTAAGCACTCTACCAGTAAGGCCCTTTGAGAGCCCAAGGCTCACTTGTGACAGGAGGTATGAGGGTGGTATTTATTGCCTTACAGCTTTCAGTGTAGAAATTGCATATCTTTGCCAAGATTTAGGACCACCCTGAGACTCTACAATGAGGAATGATGAATAAGTGATGGCCACCAGGACATCCTACATAGGTATAAAAAACATGGAACCAGAACCATTGACTACTCCTACAGCCTAGGAACTGTGGTCTCCCTGGAGGCAGTGGCTGGCTGCTAGGTGTCCGGATGGGACACTTCAGCCAGAACATAAGGCAACCGTTGCACACACCAGCCCAGGCAAAGCCTTCGGGGCTTCAGTTCTTAAGTGGCAGAAATGGATGCTTTGTTCAAGCTGCCATCTTAGACTTTGTGCTCTCTGAGGGCTTGTCCTAGCTTGCCCAGGTTGGGGGGCTGGGCATGGGCAACCTGCTGAATGCCCATCATCCATATGTCATCCATCCATACACAGAGACATGGAGTTACTGCCTCCTTTTTTTTTTTGTGGCAGGTCCGGGGTTGAACTATGAGCCTAGACCCTGTCCCTGAGCTCCTTTTGCTCAAGGGTAGCACTCTGCAACTTGAGCCACAGCTCAACCACTCAGGGTTTTTTGTTTGTTTGTTTGTTTTCCCCTGTGATCTCTTAGAAATTAGAGTTTCACAGACTCTTCTGCCCCGGATGAATTTAAATTGGCATTCTCTACATCTCAGCCTCCTGAGGAGCTAGGATTCCAGGCAGAAGCCATTGACACCTGGCTTTCTTTTCTTCTTGTTGCTCTTTTTTTCATCATACCACTCTGAAATCTTCATTGTGTCATTCCAATGGTTTGCATTTGAAGTAATTTATCCAGGCCTGGAGTTGGAATGCCAGGACTGCCACCCACACACGGAGAGAGATCCTGGCAAACTCACTTCTGTTTATCTGAGTAATAATGGAATGTTATAAAACTAATACTTAAATATGCCGTGAATTCATGAGTCTAGTTTAGAATGCCACACAAAAATTATTGGATTTATATCTTCCGTTCTAGCACCATGGTATGTATCCCCTAATGGTAGGATCTTGACTAATTTTTAATTAATGCTTTAATAAGTATTCAACCATGATACTTCGTTTAATGGAGGCGTAATTTAATAAGTAGTAAATGATAATAATATATATAATTTAATGATATCCTCACATTCCGTCTTTGTATATATATATATCAACCTACACATCTATCTGTCTATTCATTGGGCATTACTGTGGCTTGATTACAGGTCCTCAGGACTTCCTGGCAGCTCAGGTTTCTGGAAGCTGGTGTACTAAGACTGTGAACCCTATATGGATTGGGCACATTGTAGGCCGTGAGTTGAAATCCCAGCATGGACAGAAATTCATTCGTGGAGTACAAAGCCAAATTTGTCACATTTTTTTTCCTTCTCTGTAAAAGTCCTAGGTCTCAAGACAATGTATAATCCATATCAAATATATCCTATGTGATATGATGTCATAAAAGAATCTTATAAGTGAAATAAGGGTAATAAATGTCATACACAATAAAACTATGTATGTAAATATATGAATATTATTTTTTCTAGTGCTGGGGCTTCAATTCAGGCCCTGGGAACTGGTCTGATTTTCTTATCTTCAAGGATGGTGAGCTTTCTCCTTCACCCACAGTGCCACAGATTTACCCAGACCATGAGTTCAAATCCCAGGCCTGCCATCTGTTCCTTGTAAGAGCCCCACAAGTAAGATGATCTTACAGATGAGAAAATTGAGGCTCAGATATGTCCCCAAGGCAGGGCCAAATTTATGTATGTACTGAACTCTAATGAGTGGTCTCCTTCAGACAATTGTTTTGGTTTTGGTTTAGTTTTCTCCATCATGAACCTTGAACTTAGACCTTAGGCGCTGATTTTCCTCTTGGGCTCATGGCTAACGCTCTACCAAGCAGATCCAAGGACCCACTTGCAGCAAAGTGTCATGGCTCAGGCGTCTTTAGCTGAGGTCTGTCCTCCTGCCTACTCAGGAAGCTGAGGATCTGGATTCTAAACTAGCCTAGACACAAAAGGTCCCATGAGACTATTATCTCCTATTCACCACTTAGAAACTTGAAGGGGAAGCTGGGCGCTGGTGACTCATATCTGTCACACTAGCTACTCAGGAGGCTGAGAACTTAGCATCATGGTCCAGAACAAGCCTGGGCAGGAGATTCCTTGAGATGGTTATCTCCAATGAACCCTTTCAGAAAGCCTGAAGGGGCACTGTAGCTCAAGTGGTAGAGATCTCAACTTGAGCTGAAGAGCACAGAGACAGCACCCCGGACCAAACTTCAACTCCTCCAACTTACAAGAAAAGAAAGAAATAAACCTGAAATGGAATGCTGGGAAAGTGTTTTAGGGGTAGAGTGCTTTGCATGTATGAAACCCTGATTTGAATCCTCAGTACCACATCCCTAGAAAAAAAAGCCTGAAGTGGCTGTGTGGCTCAAGTGGTAATGTGTTATCCTTGTACAGGAGAAACTCAGGTAAAGTGCTCAGGTCCTGAGTTCAAGCTCCAGGACTGATGTATGCACACACACACACAAACACACAGATACAAGAAGTGAAGCTGGGACACCAAACGGTAAAGCAAAGAGCTTTTGCTCTGAGCTCATGGTCAGCACCTTGGCCCTGTGTCCAACCCCAAAACCTAGCTACCCAAGGGCCAATGAAGAGAAGTCAGAGGTTTCAAAACCTGATGAGCTTCACCAGCCCTATATGACAGAAAGCATTATTATTTTGAACAAATGCTTCGAGTTAACAAGCTTCCGGAAACCTAGGGAGGCACCGTTGCTAATTAGGAATCATTTCATGAGGTTCAGCTCCCTAGTTATCTGCCAGAAGGACTTCTGAATTAATTGCAGCAGTTTTTTTCAACACTGGAATATAGTGTAACAAAGACAGGATGAGTGCAGGGAACTTGGCCTGCCAAGGGAGGTGGCACAAAGGAAGGCTTCCTGTCAAAAGAGATTACTGGGGAGAGAGATAGCTTGGGGTACAGAGAGACCTTTTTCTCCTGGCCTTTAGAGCCCACCCACACTCCTCCTCACTAATTGCCCTGGATGAATTGTTTGTTACACAGCTGTACAGCAGTGTAACTGCCTGTTCCAACAATGAGGCCGACTTCCTCCAGCAGCCTGGTGTGTGGAGAAACCCTCAGGCTACACTGGGAACAGTGTGGGGAGTCCCGGAACAGCACTGTCTTGAAAGAACTCTCTGTGCTATGAAATCATTCTATTCAAAGCAAATTTCCTAGCTGTGTGCCTTTCTTCATAGCGACTCTGGATGTTCACCAATAGAAATACATGCATACATACACAGACACATGGAGTTACGGGCTCTTTTGTGGCAGGTCCTGAGGCTTGAACTGTGAGCCTAGACATTGTCCCTGAGCTCCTTATGCTCAAGGAAGCACTTTCTTGTGTCTTTAACCATGATTAGCCTAGGCTGGGGTGTAGCTTTTACACCCGCAGATAATCCAGGGATCCTAGGAGCCGAGTTCAACACCCAGCACTGGCAAAATAATCATCAAACCAACAAAAATGGAGGAGGAAAAAACCAGGAAGTTTTACACTACCATTTTACCTTTGTTTCCTTTGCACTGTGACCATCCTGGGTCCCAATGACCTGGCTTGAAAATTGTAGTGACCTTGCATGGGCGAAGGTTGGCGGACTGTCAGTTAAGCCTGAAACCCAACCCAGACACCTAGGCCCTGAGTTCAATCATGGGAACTCCTCCTACACGCGGCTGAAGATCATAGGAAACTCGTTCCTATCTATAGGAACACTAATAGAATGTGTGGCATGTACTAATTGAATTACTAATTAGCTAGTCTTTCTAGCCTAAGATTGTACACAATAAATATAGGTCATCGATTAATTAATACCTTATTAAGTCTTCTACCGTGTTTAATTAATGGAGACATAGTTTTAGACCAGACAATGAAAGAGACTTCTTTCATCAGGCCTGGGATGCAGAGAAACACTCAGGCTACACTGGGAGCAGTGAGGGGATCCCTGGAACATGCACTGTCTTGAAAACACTCTCTGTGCTATGAAATCATTGTATTGAAAACAAATTTCCTAGTTTGGTGCCATTCATCATAGCTACTCTAGAGCTTCACCTATAGGGATACAGCCATACATACACAAGGACAGGGAGGTACAGGCTCATTTTTTCCATTGCAGGGCCTTCATTCAGGCCCTGGGAAGTCTAGCCTGAATTTCTTTTCCTCAAGGACAGAGATCTTCAGCTTCACCCATGGTACAAAAGAGTTACCTGGACAGGGAGCTCAAATCCCAGCAATGGCAGAAATACTGGCCCTAGTTCCATGACAGTGGCTTAATACTTTTTAATAAAAGCAGTTTTGTTTTTTTCAGTTCCATACTGAACATTTTAACAAAAGCAGTGTAGAATTTTGTACAGCTATTCAGACATCCTTCCCTTACCCACAAAGTGCTTCTATGAGCACTACATTGTTTCTCTTTTTTATGGTTTTTATTGTGAAAATGGTGTACAGAGGGGTCACAGTTACAAGAGCAAAGTCATGAGAACATTTCCTATTGAACATTGTTGCCTCCTCCTTTTTTTTCCCCCCTACCATCCCTTCCCTTCCATCTCCACAACTACTCCCCCTGCCGAGGTCAGTGACTTAATTTCTTGTTTATAGTTTGGCAAGGGGTTTGCACTCAAGTAGTGGCAACTCTGTAGTTTCCCTCACATTGCTACAGATTTACCAAGACCGTGAGTTCAAATCCCAGGCAAGGAAAGACAACTGGCAGAAATTCCAAACCTGGGAGCTTTATTTCTTCTTTAATTTGATTTAATTTAATTTGATTAATTTTTTAAATTTATTCTTTATTTTGCCAACTACGGGGCTTGAACTCAGGTCGTGGCAACTCTGCCTCAGCTTTGATTGTCCTAGGCTGGGGTGCAGTCTCCGGACCCATAGCCGAACCTGGGATCCTAGGCCCAGAGGGCTTGCAGGAAGAAAAAAGAAAAGTAGGATAGCACAAAATAAGGCAAGCTGCAGAGGCCTGGGGATTTTACATTTTTTTTCTTTGCACGGTGAGCATCCTGGGTCTGAATGACATCCTGCAAACTGGACCTGGCCTGCTATTGCTGAAGGCTGGCAGGCTATCAGGGAAGCCATAGGCCGACCTGTCAACATAGGCTCCGGGTTCAAATCCTGATCCTGACACCTACCAATGGCAGGAGATCACAAGAGACTCGTTCCTATGCATAGGAATACTGAATGAAAGAGTAGTTTGTGCATCGGTCTAGTCTAAAATTGGGTGCAATAATCCTAGGATGCTGATTGATTATAATGAATAGTTTATTAAGCCTGAAAGGAATAATATTCCTTCAAAGGCAGTATAATAAATACCTAAGAGTTGGTAGGAACATAGTAGGCATCATTGAATCATAAATAGATGGCTCTGGCTTTCTTTACCAATATATATTTATTTGTATACCACCATCAGCCTATCCATGTATCGCTGTTTTGGCCCAAGCTGGGGCTTGATTTCAGCACCTGGGATCCACCTGACAGCTTCATTGACTAGAGTCTGCTATGCTCACACTCACCCATTCATGAATTGTTCCTGCTAGGCCCTAAGTTCAGATCCCAATACTGCCAAACATTTAATCTTGGAGTAAGAAGCCAAGTGTGATACATGTGTTCCTTTTCTGGGAGAGTCCAGGATGTCAGGCATAATGGAAAACATATCTACAAATCTGGATTCAATGTGATAGGATGTAAATAATGTAATAAATGGTAGAGGTGTCATCTGGGTCAATAAAATCAATGGTAAATAAATGCATAAAACAAGAAATAAAAGGAATAACCACACCAAACTCTATGGACTGAATATCTATTTGGAAGTAGAAATCCTATCTTTAAAATGTACATAAGGAATATGTTTTCCATAACTGAGGCTTGAATTCAGGCCTAGGGAACAGGCCTGACTTTCTTGTCTTCAGCATAGTGAGATTCCCCTTCCCCGACAGTGCTGCGTATTTACCCAGACCTTGAGTTCGTATCCCAGCCTTGGTAGAAAAAGTGGCACGAATTGCAAACCAGGGAGCTAAATAATCTTTTTTAATTGCGGGCTACTGGGGAAACCATAGTCCCCCATTTCAACATAGGCCTACAGTTCAAATCCCAGTCAAGCCACTTCCAGATTACGGGAGTTTCTAAGAGACTTGTTCCCATCCATAGGAATAATAATGGAATGTTATCAATGTCCCAGTTGAATGAGTTGTTCATGAATGATATGCATATAAAATTAGACATCATGATTTCAGAAGGCTGATTGGTTTTATTTAATACTTTATGAAGCATGAAAAGAATACTATTTCTTACAGGGACTCAATAATTTCAGGACACTGATTTACTTAATAGTATATTAAGGATGAAAACAGTAACATTAATTGCATGGAGGCATAATAAATAGCCAAGAATTGGTAGGAATGTAGTCGATATAA